ATTCCCTAACAGATGGTGTCATGAGGGGCCTCACGTGGTGTAGTAATTCCCTCACAGATGGTGTTATGAGGGGGCCTCACGTGGTGTAGTGATTCCCTCACAGATGGTGTTATGAGGGGCCTCACGTGGTGTAGTAATTCCCTCACATATGGCGTTATGCGGGGCCTCACGTGGTGTAGTAATTCCCTCACAGATGGTGTTATGAGGGGCCTTACGTGGTGTAGTAATTCCCTCACAGATGGTGTTATGAGGGGCCTCACGTGGTGTAGTAACTCCTTCACATATGGTGTTATGAAAGACCTGACATGGTGTAGTAATTCCCTCATAGATGGTGTTATAGGTGAGTGTGGTTCCAGAGCCTTCCTATCATAGACGGATTAACACATGGCTGGTTGTTGGGTCTCACAGGCCGTTATCACTGGGTACCTGGGACCTCACTGTGTGAAGGTTAACTTGCGTACGACTGTTACTGTTGAGTTGTTCTCACTGATTTAAGCACTGTTCACCACTGTTCACCTCTGTTTAACACTGGTTCCATTCCTTTCCTAAATGAAATAGTAACTTCTGGCGAGAACTTGTTGATATTCCGGTGGGGAGGAGGGTTCAGGGGAGGGAGTTGGTATCGGCCAACTTAACAGTTGACCTGGTTGCTCCGAGAGGAGCGCCAGGTACGTCTTGACCCTTCTGTTGTCAAGGATGTAGTGTGTGTGTGTGTGTGTGTGTGTGTGTGCGTGTGCGTGTGCGTGTGTGTGTGTGGTCTATTATAATTAGGTCGTATTAGGACTATAGCCGATTAGGTTTGTGGCTTATTACCGCTAGGAGCTTATAGGGTTTGGGGTCTACTAATATTGGGGCCCATTTGAGCAGTCTCTTTGTACCTGTACCACACAATGCACCTCACTGGGTCAGTCACTGAACCATCGTGTTGAGAGAGTTAACGTAGATGGTTTATTGTACAGGTGAAATATAGCATCACTGGAGAGTTAGTGGGAGGTCCAGGAAGAGTCTTGGCTTACCTTAGCTTAGCTTAGTTTTGGTTAGGTTAGGTTAGATTAGGTTTAGGTTAGGTTAGATTAGGTTAGGTTAGGTTATGTTAGGTTATGTTGTGTATTAGGTTATGTTAGATTAGGTTAGGTTATGTTAGGTTATGTTAGGTTATGTTAGATTGTATTAGGTTATGTTAGATTAGGTTAGGTTAGGTTATGTTAGATTGTATTAGGTTATGTTAGATTAGGTTATGTTAGGTTAGGTGACCTGAGGCTGGACTCCACTATAATACCGCCGTCTGAATCATGTGTCTTTTGTATGTAATTAATGAAGCCTTAAGTGTGCATGATACTCTGGCCGGACCTACTGTGTTGGTGAGCTTCTCTCCTTTATTAATTTACTCTACGATTCATAACTCTCTTATTAACCTAACCTAACCTAACCTAACCTAACCTAACCTAACCTAACCTTGTGCACAGTTTATCTCTAACTACTGATAACCTGATATATGGTACTAGATGGTCGACCTTAACAACCTAACCTGACCTAACCAATATCTAAAAAACACGTATTAACTAAAGGTATGGTGTGTACCTGGTGCCACTAATTGTTTACCTGGTTGATAGTTAATTAATAATAGCCGTTAACAGTGTGACAAATAATGCAACAACTCCAGGTAATTGATATCTTTCTATATTAATGTACTGCTTTATGCATCTGTTTATTTGGTAGTAATAAAAATAATAAATAATAATAATAATAATAATAATATTAATAATAATAATGGAAGGTTAGGTTAGGTTAGAAGGCGAATTTTATAAAGAAGTTTACTGGATTATATATATATGAAACAGTCTGCCATGATACTAAGCCATAGAAAATGGTTTATTTTTGTATATCATAGAAAATGGTTGAATACTAGTCAATAATGTTCCTGACTAATACAAACTTGGGAGAAATATTTAGTATGCTTGACCTACATAATTTCCATTACATTTATTACATGGAATACAGTAATCACTTCAATTAACATCCAAGGCTGGGATGTTCTTAATTAAAAACTTTTAATAGTTAAGTCATACCTGAAAACAACTTAAATGTTTAGTAATTTAAGTGATTAAACAAATTGAGAGTTGTGTGGGTCAGGCTGGGGAAGCATTACAGCTTAGAATAAAATAACACAAGTATAATATAAGAACTGCAGCCAAAAGCAGTGAAGTTTACTGTCATCTTAGGGACAATAATCGTGTGTGTGTGTGTGTGTGTGTGTGTGTGTGTGTGTGTGTGTGTGTGTGTGTGTGTGTATTGTTAATAATTGACGGTTTATTGAAAAAGTTCTGCAGCGAAGGCTGAAAATATACATTGGACATAAATGACTTATACATACATTGGTGGTTTAACAAAAGCCTTCATTAGAGAAGGTAAAGGAACATACAGTGAACATACAGATTAATGTAGGTGTTGAACAGCAAACTCGTAGTGTGTACTCCCTCCCAGATGGTGTTAGGAGGACCTCGTGGTGTAGTAATTCCTCACAGATGGTGTTATGAGGACCTCACGTGGTGTAGTAATCCTCACAGATGGTGTTGGGAGGAACCTCACGTGGTGTAGTAGTTCCCTCACAGATGGTGTTATGAGGAGCCTAATGTGGTGTAGTAATTCCTCACAGATGGTGTTATGAGGGCTAATGTGGTGTAGTAATTCCCTCACAGATGGTGTTATGAGGAGCTAATGTGGTGTAGTAATTCCCTCACAGATGGTGTTATGAGGAGCCTAATGTGGTGTAGTAATTCCCTCACAGATGGTGTTATGAGGAGCCTAATGTGGTGTAGTAATTCCCTCACAGATGGTGTTATGAGGAGCCCTAATGTGGTGTAGTAATTCCCTCACAGATGGTGTTATGAGGAGCCTAATGTGGTGTAGTAATTCCCTCACAGGTGGTGTTATGAGGAGCCTAATGGTGTAGTAATTCCCTCACAGGTGGTGTTATGAGGAGCCTAATGTGGTGTAGTAATTCCTCACAGGTGGTGTTATGAGGAGCCTAATGTGGTGTAGTAATTCCCTCACAGGTGGTGTTATGAGGAGCCTAATGTGGTGTAGTAATTCCCTCACAGGTGGTGTTATGAGGGCCCTAATGTGGTGTAGTAATTCCCTCACAGGTGGTGTTATGAGGAGCCTAATGTGGTGTAGTAATTCCCTCACAGGTGGTGTTATGAGGAGCCTAATGTGGTGTAGTAGTTCCCTCACAGATGGTGTTATGCGGGGCCTCACGTGGTGTAGTAATTCCCTCACAGATGGTGTTATGAGGGGCCTCACGTGGTGTAGTAATTCCCTCACAGATGGTGTTATGAGAGCCCTAATGTGGTGTAGTAATTCCCTCACAGGTGGTGTTATGAGGAGCCTAATGTGGTGTAGTAATTCCCTCACAGGTGGTGTTATGAGGAGCCTAATGTGGTGTAGTAATTCCCTCACAGATGGTGTTATGAGGGACCTCACATGATGCTGTAGCAACTCAATCACTACTGAAAATATTTAACTTAATTATAATATGGTATTCTAAACTTTCCTTTAACTTTACCCATATTTAAGAATGATCCGTCTCTAAATACGTGTTATGGTTCACAGCCAATAGTTATTCTAGTAGTGTACCCAAAATTAGGAAGAGTTAGTGTAATAATATAGGTCAGAAAGGTAATTAAAAGGTAATTTGTAAATTGTGACGTGACCCCCAACAAGGCTGTTCTAGATGATGACCAAACTTGTGAAGAAAACGTAAAGACTCCTGAGATGACACACACACACACACACACACACACACACACACACACACACACACACACACACACACACACACACCCATTCCCCAAATATGTAACTGTATATTTTCAGCCTTTTGGCTGCCAAGTTCTTTCAATAAACCGTTAATTATTATTATTATTATTATTATTACACACACACACACACACACACACACACACACACACACCTTCCTCACCCGAGATCAAAGTCCGTACCCCAGAATATTTACAGTCCCACGCCGCAGATATTAATAATACTCGTGTGGGAGGAGGGCAGGTAGGTCGGGAGGGTGGGAGGAGGGAGGATAAAGGGGGAGGGAGAGGAGGAAGGTAGGGGGTGAGGGACACCAACGTCCTCAAAGATGGAGGGCAAAGCGTAACGTTCCTTTAAAACTGTTGTGGGACGCGAAGGACTCCGGACTTAACTGATGAACACAACAATAATTAATGAATATGATAACTTGGACGTACCTGAGATATGGTGTGTTAATGTCCCTCCAAGAGCTGTTTTAACTCACTTACCTGGAAAAAGAAAAACAAATGTAGCTGAGACATCTATCACACACACACACACACACACACACACACACACACACACACTTATAGTAACAATGAACCAATGATCTTAAGCATTAGTTTATGTCAAATGGATGACTAAGAGAACTTGTTCAATATGTCAAGAACACAACAGTAGTATAGTTACCTTGTGCTGGTGGGAGCCCTGGCACCATACAGGGTCACCTCCTGGCACCATACAGGGTCACCTCCTGGCACCATACAGGGTCACCTCCTGGCACCATACAGGGTCACCTCCTGGCACCATACAGGGTCACCTCCTGGCACCATACAGGGTCACCTCCTGGCACCATACAGGGTCACCTCCTGGCACCATACACCTCCTGGGGTCACCTCCTGGCACCATACAGGGTCACCTGGCACCATACAGGGTCACCTCCTGGCACCATACAGGGCACCATACACCTCCTGGCACCATACAGGGTCACCTCCTGGCACTAACACTTTACTACACTGGTAAACACTTGGCGATACTTTTCAGTCCTCGTCAATTTCAGTCTCTTCACCTCACCGGCTGTCTGTTTGTCTTAGGCCTCTTTCACACTGTGCGGTTCTTCGCCGCACCGGAGAGACCACGGTTTTCTGCCGCACATTCGTCCCCTGCCGCGTACAGCGACCCGACTTTGGACTCTTATCTACAGTTTGTAGTGAGCAGGGCGCGGTTCCGGACAAGTCCAGTGGGGCGCAGAACGTGCAATCCGGCGTCGGACCGGCGAATTCGCCGCAACCGCATAGTGTGAAGAGGTGCATAAGAGGTATCAGTCGACTGCAATGTCCTGCACCACACCGCATCTACATGCGGCGAAACCGCAGAGTGTGAAATGGGCCTTAAGCCTTCCTGCGCGTCCTTGCCGGCACTGAGGCAGAAACAGCACTGTGAGGTCTCTGTTGACATTGAAATACTTTATTGACAATAAAACTATTACATCAAAAGGTCCGGGTAGTATACTGCTCCCACCCTCACCTTCTGGGGTTTACCAAAAGTTATAAATGTTATGACAATACAATAATTAATTGTACATCAATGAAATAGTTCATTTTGACATGAACACTGTACTATATTAAAAGAACAGATAATATAATCTTACACAAAGAAAAATGTCATATCTTTGGAGCTAAATTTTTATACATTGCAAGAATTACTTTAATTTTTCCATTATTAATCATCGAACAAACTTGTTTCTTTAAAGAAGTGATCTCACTGTTCCTGTGTGGTTGGGTTTGTTCACATCCTAATACATAATGTTGTAGTGTATCCCTCAGTTGACCCGCCCCTCCAGTAATATTTGTATCTTAATCTTAGTTTCATTATAACAGTGTCAGCAGATGGTAAGTTAGTCCCATAAGTTACATTAGTGTTTAGTAAAACTTACAAATAATGCTGAAAACTCTCGCTAGCCTCTGTTGACATTCTCATCTACCCGAAACCGCGAAACGAGGCAGATTCAAGACTTGAGCGAACCGGCCAAACCTCGTCCCAGTGTTATAACGGACTGAGTTTAGTCGTGTTTTCCTCATTCGTTTCTCCACACACACATGTAGCTTTAGAGATCATTGTCTTTATCTGTTCTAATTATAAAGCATAAAGCAACGTATTACACAAGATTATATGCCAATATTTTAGTTCAGTTCGTATAATGGCTCGTTTTAGGATGATTCAGTCTGATGTATCGAAAAGTTGTTCCTGAACCCTGGAAACACTTAAGTCATCGATGTCTCAAACTGGTGTCAGTCAACTGGTCACAAAAAGTATCCAGAATTATTTATATTGCTTATCCCGCTTTATTTGCTTATTAAAACAAATAAACAAGCAGACGGGGAAACAAACAGAAATAAGATAAATCTGTATTAAACATAACAAATAACGATATAAAACTTTTTAAATTATTTTCTTAGTCCGAAAGTCAACGCTTCCGAAGACGTGTGTGTTGTGTCAAGACGAACACCCCGGACCAGAACTAAACCAGAGCCTCCTCACGTCTGTCTGGTATAGTGTGTGGTTTAATATTTTACACAGACTACAGACAAACCAAAGTAAATCATTTACCTTAAACTTAATTCATGAAAGGTGTACAAAGACAAGATGTTAGGCGATTCTTAATTACCTGTATGGCAGTTTGTAGCAGCAGTAGTTTACCGTGTGATGGTTAATAGTGGCTAATATTATGGGGCCGGGAGGGAAGGTGGACAGTCCTCCTATCCTACACCTTCTCTACCTATTCCTCCTCTCTATCCTCCTCTTCCTCCTCCTCCTAGGCTGTATTTAGCCAAAAGGTGTTCCCTTAATTACTGCACCTGCCTGACTATTTTGGGCTCCTGTGACGTCATGATCCAGAGGGGGGGGGGGATGCTGGTACTATAATTGTGGTAGAGAACTCAAGCTCTATAATTGTGGTAGAGAACTCAAGACCTATAAATGTGGTAGAGAACTCAAGACCTATAAATGTGTAATAAAAGTCCAAAGCTAAGTTTTCGCTGTACAGACAGACAGACAGACAGACAGACAGCTAACAGTGGGTCTACAGAGAGAGCTTGTTGAGAGTCGCGCATCCCATATTACTGAGAAAATCACAATGACTTTGTGCAGTTCAGAGCACCGATACGTGACCTGGATTTGTGTCTCCTTCCTGTGTGATAATTCCGAGTTGTCAACCCCCCCCCCCTACCCCCTCTTGGTGCTCTTGTGTGGTGGAAATTAGAACAAAAATTTTTTATATATTTGGGAAATTGGAAATAAACGAAGGAAATTATCGAAGAGAATAATTATGTAGTTAGTTTAGTTATTAGGCCGTTGTTAAATGCTTTTATCGCTTAGTATTTCCAATTTTTATTTTATTCGCGTAAATTTATCCTCCAGAGATAAACAGCTGTAAGATTTAGTAAATATCCTAAGATTTATGATATTCACGTAAGAAAAAGAAGGATTATGAGAAATGGAAATTAATTGTAAGGATTAACTTACAATGGATTAAGTGGAGTATAGAAAATCCCTCGCTGGCAACTTACCGTCACCGTGGAATGGGTGTGGAGGAGCCGTCGAGGTCGAGGGAGTCAGTGTCAAGCTGACTCTTGTGACGTGTGGATGTGCTCCTTCTCTCTCTTACATTTTCACAGTGTAACGATGCACATAACATCTTCA